GTATTATGCATTTTGAAAGTTTTGAAAAATAATCTATAAAAGAAGTATGTATCACTTTAATCAATTGCTTTTTGAGAACACGTCATGTTAGCAGTTCTTCAAACCTGACTCTGTGAATTTAAGAAAAGAAGCCCTGTATCAACAAGATTAAGTAGATCACAACAATCGAAGCATCTTTATCCCGAGTGCTTGTTGCCCTGCAGGAGACCTGCTCTATGTATCTTTTTCTGCTTCAGGCAAAGAATTTTCTAAAACAGGTGCCTCATTTACCAATGGGGTGGGGGGGGGGGGGGGGGAAGGGAGATATGAATGCAAACTAAATTGGTTTTAATCTTTGTTTGTGAGAACTGAATAGAAAATGGAAACTGTCAGTGCAATTTTAAACATAGATTCACAGGTGTATATGAAAAAGGGGTTGAATATTATTAAAGGCCAGTGCAAATTAAAGAGAATTAAATTATCTACATAACTTTAAATATAAATACCAAAATCTAAACTTTAATATTTAGAGAAGATATGGAAGTTTGGGGAATCTGATTTGATTCTGTAAAGTTTAGGCTATCAATGTGCTATTTGGGGAAAAACGTTCTGATTCGATCTCTTCTGTGACAATACATTGTTTCATGGAAAAGATCCACTGTATACTGGGAGAAATGCTGTCATATTTCCGGCTTATAAAATGTATCAATCCCAAAGATGAGAACTGTGGCTTCTATTATAGGCAACATCTAGACTGAGATAGGATTTTCCAAACTGCCACATAAAAATAAAATATAAAAATAAAAAAATATCAACTTACATAGCTTCTAGGTCCTTTTCTTTGAGATGTTAGAAGTGCTACTCAAGGAAAAGACTTAAATGTTTTAAAATAATAATTTCTATTGTTTCATGTGTAAGCTGCTTCTATCTAAATGGATAAGCAAACAAGTGGCATATATCTTACGAAAAGTCTCTGCTCTTAAAGGAAATTAACAAAAGAAAATTCTAAATTTACATCAATTGCCAATAAAATTTAATGAAAAAAAAATTCACTGAAGCTGTCAATGAATTGTTATTGTATATCAGCTCATTGCTAACAAACTTTAATAAACAGCACTGTGAAAAACTGCCATCCCAAAAATGTTCAGTGTTTCAAATACGCTTTCAAATTTCATAAATACCTATTACTGTGGCTTTGAATGGTAGAAACACAGAGCTGACTCAGATACAGAGCTTTTACACCAGATATTTAACCTACTAACATTTTAAAATTCTCTTTTATTTAAGAAAGTTATGATGAACTTCAGAAAATACTTGTTTTGAAAAACTGTAGCAGTACAAAATAAAATATGTTTGAAGTAAATACTTCATTATATACTTGCATTGAGCAATTATTTAAGCTGGAGGGTCTCCTGGAAAAGTGTGTATCCTCATCATAAGCAAAATTGTCAAGTTTATATAGCATTAAAGGAGGAAACATCGGAACTACCAAGCAACGGAGTCAATTTATTGCATTGGGTTTTTTTTCAAAATTGCTGCTTAAGAGAATTGTACAATGCATAGCATGTATACCAGATGACCAAAAGGGAAATATATACCATTGAGGAGATAAGTCCTCTAAAAGACCTTTAGGGAGTGGAAAGGTATCTTTAACTGAGAAGCAAACCAGTCATTCACTTTGCTGTTATTATGAAGATCCACGTCTTACAGCAAACATCTAGGTCAAGAGGCAACGGCCTAGCATGCTTTCAAATTGGAATACTTTGGATATTATGCATGTTTCCTTCTTTAGGGACATGTAGCTGTACTGTACTAAGAGTTTTAAATGGTCTGCTTTATTCCTGTGTAAGGATAGTAGTACTTTTTTCCATTTCTGTTAACCTCTGGGTATCACTGACATTTTTCAAAATGTTGAAATGTACTTATTTCATATACTGCATTAAAATTTTCTTCCTTTGATTCATGTGGGAGAATGGTCTGCAGTGATGGTAGTACACAGAAAATAATTATCAGATTTTTAAAAGATAAACATGTTTGAAATTGACATATCCTTGGGGCAGGGACTGTCTCTAATTAAATGTTTATACAGTGCCTAATGTAATCAAGCCAGGAGCTGGTTGACTACTATGCATGCCACAGCCCAAATATTTAATAATAATAACAACACTTCTGCAGTCCATTTGATCTTACTTTTGATATTTACAAGTGTTTTCCTAACACACACTGCAGATTTCTGCAATTTGAAGGGCTTCAGGCTCAAATTCTGCAGTCTGTTTGATTCTACGATACCCATCACTTTAGCACTCAAAATCTTGATCCAAATTCTGTCTTTTGTTTTGTGTGTCAAATGGAGGATGGGATGCCCCTGTTTTTGGACAAGTGTCCAGCTGATTTTCTAGCATGCAGATGAAACAAGTGCCAGTATTACTATTTAAAGTTCCAGCAAGCACCCCTACAGCACAACTGAGATGTAAGGAAACTTGCATGACAGCTTCTGTGATGAGCTGTTCTTTGACAACATTCTTCTGGATTCAGTATGTGTTCAGTTTGCTGCACTCATTGGGATGCCTTCTCAGTCATGAGGCATAATTCACACTCTTGACTTTATTAAGGAATTAATCTTTACCAGGACAGTCTTGGCTTCCACTCAAACCAGGGTTGTCTTTGCACAAGACAGAACTGTTTTCAAACAGGAGACTGTGAAAACCTTTGGGAGCTACCATCTGCAGAAAAAAGTTCTTCCTAGGGGTGGTTGGACAGCCATTTCCACTTACATGACACCCTCTGCATGCCTAAAAATAAGGTCTCTCATCCTCTAGGACAGCTACTACAGTCAGGAAGAACTATTCCTGGAAGTGGGTACAATTTGTTGGTTAAGGATTAAGAAGCTGTGGTTTCTGTCATTCATTGACTAATTTTTATGATGTCCCTTAAGTTAATTATTAGTGTTTGCATGAATAATTGATTTTATTCATTTTATTCATGTTTGTATGAATTCATTCATACAAATGAATACAAATATTCATTCCTGTTTGTATGAATAACTAATAATTATTGTACTGAAAATTACAAGTGTCAATGATAATTTCCATATTAGTTCACTTAGCTAGTATTTTTGTGTGTGACAATTTAGTCATGAATAAACCTATATGTTGGAACAGCAGAGCTTCCTCTTCTAGTCACTCCTTTAAGAAAATGCGTAACGCCTGTTCCTCTGTAAGAGAATATTTTCCTGCCTGGGATTTGGACCTAATCTTTAAAATTGTATCTGGGGGTGTCTCTTAGCTAAAGCAGCCTTAGAACATCTACCCATGAAAGCATAATTTGGAATAGCCAACCTCTTTGCTGGAGCTTAGTGTGAGCATGCCATATTGATGGACTTCCTGTCTACACATTAATATGCTCAGAGACAATATGAAATTAGGTGTAGCCTGATAACTACAGTAGGAACTGGCAAACAAGGAGTATGGAATTCAGTCTGTATTTTCAGTTAACAACACTTGTCTGGCTTGGAATCACCCTATGGTGCACTACAGTATCTTTATACCTTGGGCTTTCTAACTCTGTTGTTTAACAGTAATTTTGGTATGCTGTTCATAAGCATGCAAAGAGGCATGAAGGGAGGTTGCTTACTAGTTGATTTTCAAGAGTTGTCTCTACGCATTCACACAACCGATCTGCCTTGCCCTTGCTTCGGAGCTCTGGCTCTGATTTTTAACACTAGACAGGCATGCGATAAGAAGCAGAAGTGGGTGGGGCACAGTGCATTTGCTTAAAGAGAGGAAAAACTGACATTGCTCCTGTGTGAGAATACTACTTCATTCCCTATGAAATGGC